CAGTGTGGGGTGTGCAGGAGGCAGCCAATCAACGATTCTCTCTCATCATTGATGTTTCTATCTCTCCCTCTCTCTTCCTCGCAGAAATCAATACAAACATATTTAAAAAAAAAAAAAGAATGAGTTAATGTGAGAACTTTTCAATTCCTCTTCTATGGACCAGCTTTTCCAGTAAAATTTCATCTAAAATGTTTTGGATGAGGTCTACTTAGTAGCAAGAAAGAGAACTATATCTGTAGTTCTCAAATGGTACAGCAAGAAAGCAATGAGCTCCAATAAGTTGTAAGGAATGTGAGTGATATGACTATTGACTGGCATAACACCATGTCTCCCTGGTATCATCGCCCTCACTCACCTGCACCCTAATCTGTTCTGTTTACTACGTAGGAGATGGAGTTTCAGGTGAAACACTGGGTGAGGCTGTGGGTTATGCACTTATCTGCTATGCCTTGGCCCACAGTAGCCAAACATTTACCAATATACCAGTTAGAATGTAACGATTTAGAAATGATAATACTGCCTATTTTCTGCAAAATTCTTGGATCTTAAAAAAAAATGGGTCTATTCATGGTGGGCTGTGACTTGAGATTCCACTGGTCTAAGTGTTCTCTGAATATTAAATCACTTTACTAAATCCTTTGTTTTTCTGAAGATTAAATGCATTTTCTCCATTTGCTCTTCAAAGTTAATGTGAATGGAGGGAACAGAAATGGAAACGGCTGCCCTGACCGGTTTGGCTCAGCGGATAGAGCGTCGGCCTGCAAACTGAAGGGTCCTGGGTTCGATTCCAGTCAAGGGCATGTACCTGGGTTGCGAGCACATCCCCAGCAGGAGGCGTGCAGGAGGCAGCTGAGCGATGTTTCTCTCTCATCGATGTTTCTAACTCTCTATCCCTCTCTCTTCCTCTCTGTAAAAAATCAATAAAACATATTTAAAAAAAAGAAATGGAAAAGGCAAGACAATGATCGTAGACCTGCTAATTAGAAGGGCACGGAGGATGGAATTTGACTCTGGTTTATTTAGGGACTTATGGGAAAGTGTGGACAAAATCCCAACTGACCCCAAAGCTCCCAAATTAAAACTCAACTTGGTAAAGCATCTTGTATTAGCAACTGACCAAAACCAGGATTATTCCGCCAAGAGAGGATCTCAAAAGCCTTAGCAAGGTGGCCTCTGAGTCAGGCATGGCCTGCTTGGCCAGCCCTACAGCACATCCTCGCCCACACAGGCACTCCTCCCACATAAGTGAACTGAATACAAAGGGATTCACTAGGTAGAGAAAGCCATTTGCATGAGCCCGCTGCTAACACTCATAACCCAGCCAGCAATCCCACAACTACCCCCCAGGCAGGCAAGAAAAGACCACAGCTAACATCTAACTGTCCTGCTACCACAGGGTCAGGGAGTGAGGAGGTTTGAAAAGGCTTTTGGGTATGCAAGCAACTTAGGTCTGATCAGTCAACTTCTCCTTTTAACTAGCAGTGACAAAATATACATACAGCTGGATTTTTATGAATAATTCTGAATTTTGTTGCTGAAAATCTTAAAATCTCTATACAATGGAAACCTTATCCATTGTACTTCTTACCTTGAAGCAAATTTTTTTAAAAAAAGGTAAAACCACTTTTTATTAACATGAAACACTTTTTATTAACACGGAGCATAACCATCATACCAGAGTCACATAATCTATGTTATTTTCTTTCACTCTGCTAGAAATACTCATTCTCAGATACTTTACCTCGAAAGAGCTTGTTTTGCCTCTGGAAATTCCCTACCCCAGCACATACCTTTCACCACACAATACACTTGGCAGTAAGTTCTCTCCAATACCCTATCCATCTCTCTACTACTATCTTTTCCAATGAGAAATCACCTGTCAGTTCATTTTTTTCTCTTCTCTAAAGTCGACTATAGTAATTAACTGATCCTCTCAAGAATCCCAGCAGCTAAATCCCAGCAAACTATGCAAAGCCACTGGGGTCATGAAAACCTCATGCTGTGAGTTCACAGAGCAACAGCAAATCCTCATCCCTGTCCTTGCCACACTGCTGTGAAGGACCCTGTCAAAATCCAAACACCCTAACCAGGGTCACAAAGCCTAGTCCCTCAGAGACCTGGCAGAGGATTTATAAGAGCGAAGCTGGCAGGTCCAAGAGCGGAGCCCATGTCTGTGTGAGAGGTGGGGACCGCGGCCAGCGGGAAGGGAGAGCTACCGTTCAGCTCCGCCCACCTGCGCAGGGTGCAGACACAGGCCGCATGTGGCCAAGGCTTAGGACGTCTCAAGACAAGCCAGAAAATCTGAACTGTTATATGAAAATTTCCAATCTTGAAATATAGATTCAATGTTTTAAAAATACCGTGCAACCAAATAATACATGTCTATGGACAAGACCCACTGAGCTGGCAGTTTTGTATCTCTGCCCGAACTGTACTGCCAACCCCAAGGGCAACTGACCCTATTCCTTGCTTCCTGTCAACACTAATGGGCCACTTAGAAAAGTGTCATATCAAGCATAGACTCAATGCAAAGGAAACCTGCTATCACAGTCAGTCAAGAAATCTGACTCAGACTAAAAACAATTCTAACAAGTAAACTGACTTGCACCAACTGCTACTATTACTATTGCCACCATTTACTACATGCCAAGAATTCTATTAAACACTATATATATAAAATCTCCTCCACGTACTCCTTTTCTCCTTTAGTCTATTCACCACACAGCATTTACATAGATCGTTCAAAAATATGGTCAGATATCACTTCCTTGCTTAAAATTCTCCACTGCTCCTAGAATAAACTACAAACGTCTCACCATGACATACTGAGATCTGGCCCAGCCCACCTCTTTGCCCCATCTCTACCCCCCAGCCCTTGCTCACACAATCCCAACAGCTATTCAGTGGACACACAGGATCTCTTTCTTACTTCTGGGCTTTACACTCATTGATGTCTTGGCCTGGAATATTCTTCCTCAGGCTTCTGCAAGGCTGCTCCTTCTCATGAGTCAAGCTGCAGCTCAAACATTTCCTCCTCACCAGTTCCCTGCCAGTAGCTTTATATAACCCTATTTTGTTCCCCTATTGTTTATCAGTGCTAAATTATCACTCACTCAAATGACTTCATTCATTTGTTTACTTATACAGTGGGGCCTTGACTTACGAGTTTAATTCGTTCGGAGACCGAGCTCGTTAAGGAGCTCATTAACTCAAATTACTCTGTCGACTCAAAGCAAAAAATCTGCCGAGAGACAGCTGGTATCTCAAAAAACTCGTTAGTCGGGACACTCGTAAGTCAAGGCCCCACTGTATATGGTCTGCCTCCACTAAGAAGTAAGCTAAGAACCTTGCCGCACTTGGTCAACGCAATGTTCCAAGCAGCTAGATCAGCTGTGGGCAAACTACC